CTGATTAAGCTTTGATAGAATTCGATTTTGTGTTTTCCTGATCAGCAGGCAAAAAACCCACATGAAGTAAATATAGCTTAGAGAAACAAAATGCTGAATTTCATCTTGAGCAAAGTTCTTTCAAGCAAAATTCCAGATTAATCATGAGGGTCATGCAGCCCTCTAGATGTTGTTTATGTTCCTAGATTTAAATTTATTAATTGGATCAATGGCTGTTATTGCAAATTCCTTTGTTAAGAAATGGTTTAACAGCTGTAGTAGAGAAATACTGGCCGATTTCAGAATTAAGAAAAAATGCTTAGAAAGCCTAGAAAGCCTATTCTAATGGCCAGGACTAAAAAACTGAAATCTGTCCTCTTTAGCCAAGTCTAGAAACACCATTCTATGCAGACTCTAGGTTTCTGTTCTTCTTTTAGTGTCATTATATTTCTTTTTCTCACCAAAACACTGCCCATATGACCAACAGTTAAAGTGCAAATTCATTGAACAAGCTCTCAAACCTAAGAAGCAGACTCTGAAAACCAAGCACTGGTTCACTGAATAAGGGACAAATGACTATATGTAAAAGCGCCTATGGATAAAATTGAACAAAGGTGAGTCTGCACAATTTTCTTCACCCTAAGTTTTTCACATTTTAGAGACTGTCCGGCATATAGACAAATCATTATGCTGCTTGAGTCACTTAGTAAGTCACGGATCAGATACTGTAAGACTTCAGTTAAGTAAAGATCTGAACGTCTAGAGCTTTTTAACTGAAGGGAGATAGGATTTTCCAATTTAGTGCAAAGATTTAAACCTTTCAGCTTCTGACGCACAAAGCAATCATGATGCTAGCTCTGACCCTATTCTGGATCAAAGGCCCATCATGCATCAGAGAATTTGCACATATTTGATTGATATAAAAGCCAAGAATTTTAAATTTCTGCCTCATAAGATGAGAAAAAAAAAAGTCTCACAGGATTTTTTCGCCCTCCTTTACATGCAAATTTCAAACCATCACATGGTACAGAAGCAGATGTGTTTTCTCAGTCTCGCAAATTCTGGAGGCCTCATACAGCCTTCCATGTGAATCTCTAACTTAAAACTTGATTTAATCTAATTCAATAAACTTGAAGATACACAACTATCTCATGAAAGCATTCCTGAAATTCCCCAGTGAAAAGCAGGGACAACTCAGAGATTTATTAAACAATCTGCACCATGCTTTTTTAACTTAAATTGAAGCTTTTTGTTTTTATTACAAACAGGATTTGATAATGAATAATCCCCTAAAACTGTGAGGGCTGTTTGGATATAGCAGACGGATCGCCTGTGTCCTCCCTAAAGTGAAACCACCCAAACAGATGGAAGACTAGGAGCATTTTTTGCTGGTTAATAATCCAGGCCAGACTGAGCCTCCCCCTCAGCACAGAAACCTGAATACCACTGATGTTCGTGTCACAGCAGCCTCACCTGACAGAAACTTCTTTGTTGTCGTCTCAGTTGCTCTCTGCCTGTCTAAGCTCTACCCTTCATGGAAAGGAGAAGATGTGGAGTAAAAGGCAGAGGCACAGTGCCAGAGTCTGGTCTCTGAAGGATGTCTGCAAAAATACTTTGGAAGCAGTCACTCTAAACCAATCGACCCTGCTTTTCAGGCAAAAGTTTGGTTAAAGATACAAATCAGCTGAAAGGATTAAGTCTGTGAAATCCAAACACTGATTGTTTGAATGCTGTTACTTTAGATTGCACTGTACTGTACATGTATTTATAGTGATTAATAAAAATATACTTTTTTATGTAAAAAAGGATAGAAACCAGTTCCTAAATATGTGCTTATGGGAATAAAATAAACAGCGTCAACACCATCCTGAAACAAGTACATTTTCTTTTCAATCCAAATTGTGCTTCATGACATCCTGCAGACCAACGGAATACGTAGGCTTCAGGGCAAATAATCATCAAAATGACTAAATTTCAGATCAGCTTTGGAACTGCTCTCAGTCTAGTCAGCTGTCGCTGCCTCTTTAAAGTGAGAAATAAATTTTTTCTTCTCCAAACTGCGGTCATTTAAAAGCCTTATACTATCAGCTTCATTTAGCGCCACTTCCTACCAGAAATAGAAGAGGTAGAGCTGACATGGGATGTGTCATCTGATCAGAATGCTATGTAGACACAGTTTTGGAGATATTCTGGGCATATCCCACAGATTGAGACACAGGGAAGAATCAGAGGTCTCTTTCAGAACTTTACATCCATTATGACTTTTCATTTTTGTTTTCATAAATATCTTTTTTTCTCCTTCCACAGGTTCCTACAAGTGCTCCACATCACATTGAAAAAAAGTTCTTAACTTCAATAAATTGTCCTTTTAAACATGATGCAGTCCACCTGTGCATAAGTAAGCTACTGTAGCATTTTGGAGAAATGTAAATTTGCATAATAATTACCACATAATTCAATATAAAGTTACGACTTGTCAGTCTAGTCCTTGTCAGTCATTGTTCAATCACAATAAAGGCTTCGAAAACGTAGAAGAAAGACGTTTCTAGTTCAGAAATGAAGGTTCTGTTTACTGAGATCTGAGCAGCAGAATCAAAGGACCACTATAAGTTTGTCTATTTATCATATTAACTTAATTAGGCTTATTCCCTAATGCATCTAACCACTAATTCAGAACTAATATTGACTAGTATATTTTGTTGTACATTTAACCAAAAAAATGTCAGGATTTCCTTTCTGTTCACTAACTGCAGATCCATGTAATCCAGTCACTGATACAGATAGTCTGTTACACTTCCACCCAGCACAGTTAATCTGACCCTTTGAGCAGCTCTGTAGGTTCCTTTAGATTCTGGCACAAAAATCCAGATTACAGAGACACATCACCAACATTGTCATGTTGGACACTGGCTCCATGCATAATGGTGAGCTGCAGGCGGATTTAGTCTGAATTTTAATTTCATAGATTGGAGTATTAAGACGTGGTAGCAGCTGTCATATTTGGCAGACACGTCGTGTTGAGAACAGATGATCTAAATCTTTTACAGACCGTGTTTGTGACAGCGGTGCTTTGGGCTCGGTTAAGCCTACAGTCAGGTCTTTACTAGTGCACTGTGGATAGATGCTGGTCTATCAGATGCTGTCTTCGTGTTTTTCATTCTTCATGTTCATTACAGCATGTTGAACCATCCAGTTGGAAATTTGTTGACAGGAAGGAATCAGGATACAAGCAGAAGCCCCTCTAAAAAAAAACTACAATAACATAAAAAGGCACTCAGAGCAAAACTGTCTCCACTGTTAGAAAGGGAGCTTCATCTTTTTCAGGAGCTCCCATAATCTTAACAACACGGATTAGTTAAAGGGACTATGGACAAAGTGGAACATTTAAGTGTTACTGCTTTTTATGTTAGCAATATGAGTGACTTTTAAAGGAAAGCATTTTTAATCCTAAAATAAAGACTGTTAATATGTCACTGCTGACCATTTTCTGTGTCATAAGGATTAATGGTAGAACTATAAACATGTCCTCAATCAGGTCATGCCAGGGAAGAACCAGAACTCTTTGGAGAACAAATATTTATGAATTTATATCAATTAAATTAAAAAAGAATTAATGATATACTGTAAATGGAATATTTAATGTATCTTTTACTGGAGTATTTTTTTGTTTCTTTTGGCAAGAAGTTGCACATAATACTATTGTAGCTGCAGGCTAGGATCTCCTGTAGCAATCTGTGTTGTAATACATGTGGAGAAGCCTTTGATTGAAAATATTCTGACACTCTCATGTTCAATAGTCTGATAAAGAGGATGCTCACAGTTGTTTTTCTGCTCTGGTCTAATGTTCTTTGTTTTATGCAGGAATATTCATAGTAAAATCCCATCTATAAGTTCTCAGAACAGAGAAATAATCAGCAGAGGCAGGCATTAGGTGATTTAAAACTTACAGGCATAGATGAAGGCTTGAGAACATTATTTACCATCACCATGGCAGTCTTTGTTCACTCTGGACCTGAAGATGCTTGGACTGTACCCTGACTGTTCTTCTGAAGCCATGATTGCAACATTAATTATAAGGTATATTTAGACCATAAACACACGATTTAAGGGACTTTGACCCCACCTGTTGTCTTAAATCTGTGTGAACAGGGGGGGATTTAGCATTAGGCAATACTAGGCAGTTGCCTAGGGCCCCAAGTTCCTGGGGGCCCCATAAAACTCTGTTTCCATGTATGGTTAATACAACTAATCCTTATTTGTGCACATTAATTATGTTTTTGATAAAAATCCTTTGGCTAAAATGCCATCAGAACGCTGATAAATAGAGAGGAAAAAGGGACAAGAAGAGAGGGACAAAACCTAGAACAAATAATGGATGTCTATTCTATTAACATTTCTCTATCTGTAGAATGGGTCTGTTTTATGGGTTTTCTTCCCAGGGGGCCCCCTGCCTGTCTTTGCCTAGGGCCCCAAATTTCCTAAATCCGCCCCTGTGTGTGAACACCTGCATTCTATAATGGACTTTGATTCACATTAGTCCCAAGGCTGCAATTTTTTTTTTCCTGTTTTCTTATCAAAAGCACATTTCCATCCACTCCACTTGATATTAGTATGCTTAGATACAGCACTCTGAACTGCCAGCTTATTTAGCAATACACTTTTTTGTAATTTAACAATCTTTTAAACACTTTCTTAAAGCAAGCCCCCCTTTTTCTGTATCCTGCAATGCATCATCACATTTGTATAAGCCAAACATTTTTGTTGTCCTTTTTGGTATGGGCCTGATTAGAGATTTTCAATTTTGTGCAATTTTAGGTAATAATCATTCAGTTAAATCAAAAATTAAATACTGAAAGTAGAAGTCCATCTATATTGTATGTAATAAATCTACTTTATGTAGAATCACCTTTTCCTTTCCCATAAATATTTATATATATGGGCCTGCATGTTAAGACGCACACACACTGACTACAGGAGCGATGGGAGGAGGAAGAGGGAGGGGGTTGAAGAGGATGGAGAGACTTTAGCAGGGAGAAAGGGGGCAGAGTGTGGTAGAGAGGTAGAATACCGATTCACTTGCTCTATCAGAGAGAACCGGGACCAGAAGTGAACAAGGCAGCCCCCCCTCAGCCATGGACTGCGCGCTCCGTGGAGCGGGCGGCGGATCGGCACTCAGAACAGACGAGCTCCTGACTCGGATTTGTGGCCCTCTTTTATCCTCAAAATCAAACGGAGAAACTTCATCGGAAGCTCAGGCTCGGGCTCAGTAGACCCGCTGTCAGAGAGAGAATCGGACAAAAATATATAATGGGCCCCAAAAGTCCATGCGTCCCTCGGAGTTAGTTTTGGGGGTCAGAACTGTGCGCACTGAGCGCGGCGTCTTTTAGTTAAACTGCAGCGGAGCGCAGCGGGAAGGATGCAGAGTTTGTTCCCGGTGGATGCGCAGCGCTGTGCGTGGAGCAAAGCGGAGCGGATCGCTGTGAAGAGGAGAGACTGTCTACTTTCCATAAGGTGAGAAATTGATGATGAGCACCCATTTCAAATTATCCTTTCAATAACATGTTTATTCTCATTGAGATAAGAGTATTTATAGAAACAAAGCTCAGATCTAATAAAACCCAACTTTCCCAATAAAACTAGAACCAGCATGTAGTATCTATTTATTGCAATTATCCATGTCGGTTTCTTAAAATTAGACTTAAGGACCGCGGTCATCATAATCAGCCTCGGTTTGATGGCTTATTTGCCCCCCTTCACCCCCAGCCGGCAGCATTACATAACTATTGAGCTGCCTTGGCCAGAAATCAATGCAATCTGTCAACAGGCTGCTGCTGTTTCATCACTTCTCTCTGTCCAGCTAATTACCACCAAAAATGCATCCCAATCAACCTGTCAGCTCATCCGATCAGAGCTTCAGCAGCAGGTTTTATTGATGCTTTTTTCTGTATTTTTTTTAATAATTATAACTGATTGTTCCACCTCCTGCTGAACCCAGTAAAGAAGGAACTCTCTATACACTTTAAATGCTCTGACCTTGTAGTCACAGCAGCACATCGATCTTAGTTGTGTCCCTCTGTAAGGAATTTGTTTCATCTTATCTGTGCTGACAGGCTGCATTCATCACCTTCCTACAGTCCTCTTCTCCTCCAGCACCACCAGACTTAATGAAACAGACGCAGGAAAGAATGCAAAGTCTCACAAGAGCAGGAATTTGACTTTGGAGCAAGCTGTCTGCTCTAATCTTGAGGTTGAATTCAGTAGAGGAATGCTACTCTGTACAGTACATTTTTGCAGGGTAGTTTTTTAGGAGATATTTTTGCTTCAGTGTCCAGTTGTTGAGTGTCAAACACACATTTTCTTACTCCTTTTTTATCCATTCTAAAATGTGTTTGAGTAGAACCTCTATGGCTGACTAAACAATAAACTTGTATAATTTCATGACCTCGCGCTTTAGATTAAAATGCCTTCATGCAATTTAAAAGAACTAACAATTATTGATATTTGATGAGATGAATGAACAGAAGTCAAAGCTGATTTATTCACAATTGTTTATTTATTTATTTTTTTTTTTGCAGGTTTGGGTGAGAAGCCACAGAGGTGTTTGGTTGAGGAACTATCTTCAGTTCATGATGCAACATCATTAATGCTCAGCAACATGCTCTAAATTCTGCCTGTCAAACAGATGGTGACACTATGATGGACTTTTTGAACCAGCATAAAAATGGTTGGGTGTGGATGAAGGAATCTTACCCATAGTGTGTTCTTATTTTTTATTTTTTGGAAACCTCAGGACAGCAGTTGCAGGAATTGTCGAGGACTTTCTTCAAGACCAGGATGGACACAATGCATAAATCCTATAATTTCTTTGCTGGGATTCTTGCTTTTTATTATTTTAAATCCTGTAGTTACTTTATCTGATGTTTCTGTATTGAACCATATGAAATGGAGATACTGTGGCTTTTATGGAGTAAGGACTGTACCTCCTTAGTAAGATCATTAATTCCCATACTGCTAGGCCTTCATCTCCAATTCTCGCAAGCCTCTAACTGTCCCGAAGAGTGCCGCTGTGACCGGACCTTTGTTTACTGCAACGAGCGGAGCTTGACCTCAGTGCCTCTGGGAATCGGTGAGGGCTACAAGACTCTCTACCTCCACAATAATCTGATCAATAATGCCGGCTTTCCCCTAGAGCTGCACCATGTGGCCTCTGTGGAAACTGTGTATCTCTATGGCAACCAGCTTGACGAATTCCCAGTTAACCTGCCAAAAAATGTAAGAATTCTCCATCTGCAGGAAAACAACATTCAGACAATCTCTAGGGCAGCTTTGTCTCAGCTTCTTCAGCTGGAGGAGCTGCATTTGGATGATAACTCCATATCTACGGTTGGAGTGGAAGAAGGAGCATTTCGGGAGGCTTTGAGCCTAAAGATGCTATTCTTGACCAAAAACCACCTAAGCAGCGTGCCTATTGGTCTCCCAGATGACCTGAAAGAGCTACGGTTGGATGAGAATCGGATTGCGGTCATTGCAGAGGAAGCATTTCAGAATGTTACTCGACTGGAACGCCTGTTGTTAGATGGAAACCTGCTGACAGATGAAGGGATCTCACCTGGGACTTTTCAAGACTTGGTCACCCTGAGGGATCTTTCTCTGGCACGGAATTCATTAACTTATCCTCCCGCTTTCCTTCCTGGTGAGAAGCTTGTAAAGTTAAATTTTCAGGAAAATCAAATAAACAAGATCCCTGTGAAAGCATTTGCTGGTTTACACAGGTTAGAAAGGTTAGATATTTCCAACAACCAGCTGCAGTCACTGGTTAGGGGTGTCTTTGATGGTCTCGGGAGTCTAAGGCAGCTCACTGTCCGGAACAACCCATGGCTCTGTGATTGTGGCATGCATTGGGTGGTATCATGGCTCAAGTCTCTTCCCGTGTCACTGAATGTGCGTGGTTTCATGTGCCATAAACCTGAAAAGTTAAGAGGTATGGTGATCAGAGAGCTAAGTGCTGACCTGGTCCACTGTCCGAAACCTACTTCAACAGCTGGCGCTGCTCTGAACTCATCCGTTTCCACTTCCACAGACTTCCCTTTGATTACCCAACATGTTTCCTCTTCTAAACGACCCTTAACCACACGTCCCACCCTCTACACTATTTACACAACCAGGGAGGATGGACTGAGGACTAAACAGCCTCTAAAGGTAACTTTCAGTATCTTAAATGGGTCAGATATCCACGTACGCTGGTTGGCTTCTTTTCCAGTCACTGCCTACAAGGTGACCTGGGCCAGGATGGAGCCCAGTTTGACTGGAGACACGGTCAGAGAGAGGATAGTGGGTGGGGATCATCGAGGGATCCGACTGACAAATCTTGAGCCCAAGTCCACCTATCGAATCTGCGTTATTCCCTTGGATGCTTTTAACAATTACAGGCCTAGGGATGAGACTGTTTGTACAGAGGCTGTGACAACTGCAGCCTTTTTCAGCCCAGATAACAACAACCGGAGACGTTCTGGGCCAGAGCAGGCAACGCAGCCAGAGTCCGGCTCACCACTTTTGCTGGCAGGACTCATTGGAGCAGCTGTGATTGTGGTGCTCGTGGTCCTACTCAGTATCTTCTGTTGGCACATGCACAAAAAGAGTCACTCAGAGTGGAAGTACAACCGGGGACGTAGAAAAGATGATTATTGTGAGGCTGGCACCAAGAAAGATAATTCCCTCCTGGAAATGACTGAAACAGGCTTCCAGATAGTGTCGCTTAACAATGAGCAACTCCTCAAGGGAGATTTCCGCATTCAGCCAATCTACAGCCCTAATGGGGTCCTCAGCTTCAGAGACTGCCCCCCAGTAAACAATAGCACAGTGTACTGCAAGAACAATGTCCAGGATCATGATTCATGATGGTTCCAAATACCATTAGGACTGTTCTGTCCTGTAACTGCTCAGACGTTTTTAAAATTCTGTAAAGTTAATATGATTTAAATAGCTATGACTTCAAACATGTAATTTATACAGCTGACTTTATCATCTCTTTTACATACCATGGTTGGATTTATGGGTTATTGTTTTCTGGAGTTGTGATGTTACAATTTTGTGCAGAGAGCATATATTAGGAAACACATTTATTGTTTATTGTTAATAAGTGAGGATGCCTTGTTTTATTGTACTTTTGTAGGGGTTTTGCTGCTGCATCAAGTAAGGAAACCTGATAGACAGAAAGAAAAAATCCTGATACCACTAGAGGGTGTAGTTTAATTGTTATGGCATTGGTGAAGTTGCAGCTGAAATCAGGTGAGATTATTAAATTACTGAAGAAGTCTTCGACCATATGCAAAAAAATATATAAATATATTTTCTTTAAAAATACAATCAAAGGTCACACTCATTCAACACTTAGAAAGTAACCGGCTGCTCAGCTTTCACTTGCATCTCCTGTTAAAAACATCAGAACAATAACAGTCTAGTTATCAGCACCTGCTGTGTTTGGTGGGAGGGTCATAAAGCAAGCAGTAAAAGAGCACAAAATTGGAATGTTGAAACTCCTTGAAACTAAATATTAAGTTTGACACTGTTGATTTTTTTCAGCAAAAAATTTATAAATGTGCCTTGAAGTTATCAGCTTAAATGTGTTATGTTTTTGTGCAAGATGTATCCTTGTATATACAATTTAATGGATTATTGGTATACTTTGCCTTTATTTATTTATCTTATGACACATTTAATTAAAATATATTTCCAAATGGGAATTTATTTCAGACTGGTTTAGCATGAGCAATGACCTTTGACAGCATGTAATTAAGGTAAACAAAGGGTCCAATAATTACAATAATATAACATCCAACAGAGATGAAACACAGCAGAACTGTAAGATACACTACTTACAATTTCCAACAGTATATTTCTTATGTAGGTTTTTAAACACTTGCATAAGAGGTTCATGACACAACCTTTAAAAATTTGAATTGTTTTGATATTTCTAAGCTGTGTTTTACCAGAAATGAATTACAAAGTGAAGATGAATGAAAAATACATTTCACAATGATTGTTTTATTATAACACATACACGTAAAAAAGAAAATAATTACAAACAAGACCAGAAATAACATTAGATTTTGCCTCAAACAATGGAACTTGGGCATTACAGTTTTTACATTTTTAGTGATGGCAATGTAAAGCAAGAACCAGAAGGGTAGAATAGGGGTTTGTCTGCTGTAATAAGGGTGCTAATCCAATTGATGAATGGGGAGAAGGAGTGAGCTGAGAAAAATTCTTGATCAACCGGTTCAGTCATACAGTAAGCCAACTCTCTTAAACTCACGAGATGGATCATGGTTAAATGTAGAAAGGTCTTGCATAGGGGTGGCAAAACTTATATTCCAATAGGAAAGTAATGCTCTGTCAGAAAGGAATAACATCGTCTGGATTGAGCTCAGAGTTAAACTGCAAAATGTTCATGCAGAAATAAATCAGCGGATGACTGAGTCTGATTTTTGTGGAAGTTCTTCATGAACATCCTATTATAAGAAAATCTTCTGAAGATCCTGAGACCTCTAAGCTGATAATGTGTATCTCTTATGGTGTTCAAATATTTTGCGATCTTCAACACTTAGCTTAGAAATATTATTGGGTAAAGGGCTGTATGAAAGATTCCTTTATAGCCTTTATTTCTAGAATCCATTATATCCGGTATATCTATATAAGTCCATCCATCTGTTCTTTTAATGTATTCCACTTAATTGAGATGTCCTCACGACAATATTTGATGTAAGAGAAAATCCAAACAACAACCTTTCCAGTGATCCTCTTAATTTGCGATAGGGGTATCTTCAACAGTATCTCAACATTCTTGAACCAATTTTCTTTGAACCCATCATCATATCAGAAAGCCAGAGCCTGGCCACCAAGTAAAATAAAATCATTTAAGCAGCATGTATCCAGGATTTTACAATTTTAGTCATGACCTCAGGTAGATGGAAAACAAAACACTTCTATCCACCTCGTGCTACAAAACTAAAATATGTCGCAGTTCTACTTTTTTCTTTGTGAGAAAAGGCAAGTGCTTTTATTCTTGTTTTTGGTTCATTCATGTGATGACTGGTTGTGTGTGCATAGTAATAACAATCATAGTAATAACAATCATCTTTAACATCACTGCGGAACTAATTTTTTTCCACTTTTCAGGGTGTATTTGTGTTAATTTTCTATCTGAGAAAAGGCAAGTGATTCATTTTGTACATGAAAATTACTTTTTTCCCTTTACCATTTAAATGCAAACAACATTTTCGGCTTTAATTTCCATGGCATTTTTTTTCAGTACAACAGAAATTCCACAGCAATTGGTAAATATAAACAAAGTTCTGTTTAGCCAAGATTAGGGTTTCTGCCTGACCCTTGCTATGTTTACAGTAGTAGCCATTCAAACTTTCCCCACTTTCCTTGATGGTCCCTTGGCTGGTCCCCTACAATTCCTTTTTAAAATATCAATATTTGTACTAAAATATTCTGATGACATTAAGATCTAAAGATAAGCATCATCTCCTGGTCAGACCCTGTAATTCACTGAAAGGGTGGAGTCAGGAATTTCACTGGGAGTTTGAGGGAAGTGGGCTGCCATTCGGCTGGTGTTTGCCTGGAAAGGACCGTTTTGAATGGCTGCAACTGTACATGTACAAGTTTTTGTATATTTAAATGTGTTTGGAGTAAAGATAAATACATAAAAAATATCTGATTGGACCATTTAGATGGACATGAGTCATTTGACTAAAATTGATTACAAATATGTAATGTAAACAAGCCAATCGGAATATTCTGATGGCATCTGGCAAGACTATCTTTGGACATCCACAGTAAACTCTGCTTGCCTTTTCCAGAAAAAAATGTATATAGTCAAGTGTCTAAATGCCTGCTGACTGGAATACCGGTATAAATCAGCCCTTTCAGTTTGATTATAATATCATTCAGATTTCAGTTAATCTGATAAGTGTTTAGTCCGATTGTTTAGTCTGATTGGCAGTTTATTTGAAAAACTTATGTCCATCCAAATGTAGGTATTTAACAACTAACTACAAAAATATGATTGGATAAACAGCTACCGTAACCCCTCCCTTAAGACTCACATAAACACCCTTTCACCAGTTTGAAGTGTGATGCAGATAAAACTAGAAAAGCACTCAGAGAGTGCAGACCTCTGCCAAGCAGCCAATTTTTCCTCAAATTGTGACTTACACCTCAACTAAAGTTCACACGTGATCTGGATCATTACCAAATTTTAAATGAAATGTTCCTTGGCGCACCTCTGGTAAAAAAAAAACTCCACAAAATGTAATAAAATTAAATCCAGTTTATTTCTATAGCGACAATTAAAAACACAGATTTTCTCAGGGCACTTCAGGGAGATAATTAAACCAGATCATACAGCCAGATTGTTTAAAAATGTCCTATCTAAAAAAAAAAAAAAAAAAAAAACACTACAGCTGATTGCATTAACTCACACCAAGCATGCTTTTAGCGACAGTGGAGAGGAAATATCCCTTTTAAAAAGACTGGGGTTTAAGGAGACAGAAGCTCCACGGGCAGCCCTGTCCAGGAAACACACAGGCATGATGAAGCAGAATGAGGAAAAAGGGTCCCTATGTCCTCCAGCAGTCTAAGCCTATATGCTGCAGAAGATTCTCAATGGATAATGTCTAAGCCTATACCAGCATAACTATAGAAATAGCTCACGATAACATGGCCACTCTGAATATGAGCCTTATCAAAAAGGAAAGTTGTAAGCCTAGCCTTATGCATTTATAAGTTTTCAATTAATCCGGCTAACAAACTAACAAAGTTGCCTTTTCTTGTATTTTTTTTTTTTTTAAATATCCAATGCTGAGGCTGTCAATAGTCACTCCTGCCAATCTCTGGTATAGTGGGGAACTGCTTGATCCTCCAAATATCCATATCTCACATCTTTTAAAGTTTCTTTATCCAGATTAGGATCCTCAAAATTTTATGAATTGTTCCTTCCATGTGGGACACCTCTGATAGAAATTTCATAAAAAAAATAGAACATTTTCAAGGTATCCTCTACACAGACACACACACAGAAACTTTCATGAAAACATAACCTCCTTGGCAGAGGTAATAAGCATAAAATAGTTGAATGCTTATAAAAATAAATTAAACCCTTCAATGATAACAAAAGAGTATGAATTAGAATTAAAAAGTATAAACAACCCAAGTTGTTGCACCATTAAAAACCTGTTGTAGAACCTATGAGACAAAAACAAGAAAAATACACACAGACCAAACATTCACTTCTCAGTCTTCTCAGTCATAACAACATCAGGCCCAGCAGCAAAAGTGATGTAAGGTGTTTTTTTTTTGCGAATCAATAGTTTATACAAACTGACTGTGAGCTTTAGTTTTAAAGTCCTGCGGATTCTGTGATTCACAAGAGTCCAATTAAAACAACAGCATGGTAAATTATTGACTATCAATCCGTTGTCTGTACCCTACTTATAAAGGAAAGGTCATGAATGGTCTGGTTCCTATTTACAATGATCATTTGGTAAGAGAGTGCACACAGCCCTAAGAGGTTGCAAGCTCCTCACAGGGCAATGAAAAAAACCACGTCTTTAAGGACTGGATATATCTCCCCAGCTATTCTGGGTATATTAGATGAATATATAGAAAAATAAGATGTTATATAGCCCTTAGGTATCATCTGAATCCTGATGGTCTATTGTTATGGGGAACAGTATAAATTCTCAATGCATTCTGAAAGAAAACTGCTAGCTCAACTGAATACAGATAGTCATCTGTCACTACATGCAAACTGATGGGCCAGAAGACCACAAGATTAAATTAAAATCTCTGGCTTTATTCCTTAAAAGGTATACTAAACAAGAAGTCATGAAATAAATATGATTTTCTACAAGTACTCCCTGGAAAATGGTAACAACAGAGCTCTAAGATCAAAGAAAAACATGTTGAAGAAGATACACATTGCCAGTGCTTTTAGCATCCAAGAGTTCACCAAACCCATCGGCCGCAATATTTAAGGGGAAAAAACACTTGGGAAAGATTTGAGGGCGCAAAAAGTTATTAGCTAATCTGCAAAATCCCTAGACATACAGCCATGCACACACAGACCTAGGGATGAATTAGTGACATCAATTAACAGTCATGTTTTGGACTGTGTGAGGAAGCTGGAGTACTCTGAGAGAATCCATGCATTGGCAGGGAGAACATGCAAACTCCATATAGAAAGACATTAAGCCAGGAATATAAGCCAGGAATAAAATCCAGTATCTTCTTGCAGCAGACAACAGTGCAAAAAGCTGTGCCACGATGCATCCCTAAAAGCAAAATCCCATTTTTAAATTATGGTTTTTATTTATTAAACGATGGAAGAGTGTCATGATGTTGCAGCTGATGATTGGTTTAGTTACTCATTTCATTCACCTGTCTAATTCTAGCTGGTTTCTCATTATTGCTCATCTGATCCACCTCTTCCTCGCTCTATTTAAGCTGCATGTCATCAAGGCCAGATTATTTCTCTTGAGCAAATGGGGAGAGTGGGTCATCATTACCTTGGTGTCTCTGATTTCCTGGTCTGCCTCTCAACCACTGAGCCTGCCTGTTCCTGTTTCGATCTGTTTGCCTGACCTGGATTTGGATTCCTGGACCTCTGAGCCTGCCTGTTCCTGTTCTGATCCGTTTGCCTGACCTGTCTTTGGACTCCTGCTTGTTCTCTGTTTCCTGGGGCTGCAGCATCTGGGAAACTCTGGGCGGCGCATCTTGTTGGCAGCCCAACAACTGGGTCCTGCCTATTTCTCTGAGCTGGAACTGAACTGTCATACCAGGTTAGTAACTCATGCGTTCGTAATCATCCTCCGTGAGAATATCATGGTCACTAGCCTGTGTTTATCTGCTACAGAGATTGATGCCTAGAACATCCTAGCCGCTTCTTCTGCAGAACCGCAGATCCATGTTTTGAATAAACACTTTTTGAGTTACCCTACTGTCTGTCTGTCTGAGCCATCTGTCTGGGCTAAAGCTCCAAGATCTGTAAGCAAAGGTGTTGATGGCAGTGGCCCAGCTGATATTCCATTCTGGGATTGTGTCAAAGCCAAACAGGAGCAGACCATATGAAGCTAACATGATGAGAAAAGGAAGCCAATGAAGATAAGCTAGGATAGCAGAAATATCATCAAACAGAAGGCTTTTAACTACAGTTTGTGGACTTACTGATAGTGGCAGCCTAGTGGTTAGGGTATAGAGTTTGAGCCACACTCCCACAGACTGCCACTCTGAGTCTCTGAGAAAGACACTTAGCCCCTGATTGCTCCCTGGGCGCCCCATGATGGCAGCCCACTGCTCCCCAAGGGGATTGGTTAAATGCAGAGGTAAATTTTCTTCAATATGAGATCAACAAAGTTAAATTATTAATATTAGTAGGTAAGGAAATTAGTAAGGAAATTCTAAAAACCTCTTTGATATGTGATTTAAATAACAGCTCTTGATTGAAAATAACACGAAGGATTTTTACTTTATTATCTGAGATCCGATGAATTCCATCCAAATGAAGTTACTGAAAAATCTGGTTTGTTTTCAAAGACTGTAGTCTAAAGACAATAACTTTTGTTTTGTCTGTATTGAGAAGCAGAAAGTTAAGGGTCATCCAGGTTTTTATGTCTTCCAGACATGTCTGTAGTCTATATAATGGCTAAAATGCTTTCTAGATTTATAGACAGATATAGGTGAGTATCATCAGCATAACATGGGAAATTAATCTCAGAGGTGTACTGCCAAATGTCTAAAATAAAAAAATAAAAACCTTAAACAGAGCCTTTCTTAAATGATTTTGTCCCATCACAGATGGAGCCAGGATTCAGAAATTGGTCGTAACGCAGCCTTAAAAATCTACACCAACTTCAGAGAGTGGACGAAAATCCTAGAGCCCACTAAAATTGAAGAATCCTTGATAAAAATGCAAACAGGTAGGGAATAAAAACATTATCAGTCATTTTTACAGGCTATTTATAGATATGGACCCAAACAAAACTCTACAGACCAAAGAAAAATGGGAAATGAATATAGATATACAGCAAGACAGATGGGAGGAAAATCTGCACTGAAGCGCACTCAAGTTACTAACTCTAATAAATGGTGAGAATTTAGGTGGAAGGTAAGAATAAGATTCTTTAGGACACCAGCGGTCATATCTAAAATGGGGTCCACACACTCAGATAAATGCTGGAGAAGTTGTGGGTCACACATTGGCAAACTTTCTCATATATTTTGGATATGCCCTAATTTGAGAAAAATATGGGATTAGATATTTGAGGCACTTAGATAAGTCTTTCAGCAAAACTTTCAACAAAGACCCTGACATAGTACTGCTTGGATTATTACCAAAATACATTACTGGAGGAGGAAAAA